CGTCCCTGCCCCGGCCCTGCATCCTCCCTGGTACGGTTCCCCATCCCTGCACCGTACTGCACTGTACAGTACCGCCCTGCACCGCACTGCACCGCGCTGCACCGCACTGCACCGCGCTGCACCGCACTGTACAGTCCCGCACTGCTCCTGTGCAGCCGCCCGTCATCCAGTCAATCTTCGGGTTGTACTGTCGCAGCCAATCTCTTCCCAACAGTATGTCGCATACGTCGAGTGTAGTCGCCAGCAGCCCCATCCGAAATTTTACGTGCTCCCTGTAGTGGAAACCGACGTTCTCCACCCGTTCCCGTATGGCCAGCGGTGTTCCATCGACTAGGCGGGTGTCAATTTCGGGTAGACACTTCAGGAGGGGAATACCCAATTTTTTTGCCCTGTCCAGCTTTATGAGACTATGACTCGCGCCTCCATCCACGAATATTTTCATAAACACCCCGTTGACTTTACCCTCCACCAACACAGGGTGATCAGCAGTTTCGTCCCCCTTATTCGTCCGGGTCCGGTCGATTGCAGCACTCGGGATCACGACCCGGTGGGGACTGTGTGGTTCGGGCGAAGAAGCCTGCCCGTCAGTAAGGGGCCCGGTACTTACTGACGCGACCCATTTCCCGGTCGCTCCTCCGGCTTCTTCCCCATAGAATTCTGAGTGGCTACGATTTCTGGGCAGTTGCGTCGGATGTGACCCGGTCGGCCACAGTGGTAGCATAGCCCCGTATTTCGCGGAGCAACTGCGTATATATTTATTGCGTCCATCCCTTTTATCGTGGCACGCTGGTACTGTTCTCGAGGGCGACCTCCGTCGTAGAAGCTCGTCGGCGGCTTCGGCGAGCTGGATAAAGTCTTGTAACCGCTTCGCAGGGCGTTGCAGTTATCTGGTACTGTATTTCAGGCTTCTGTCCGCCCATGTACCTGTCGACCTTCTCCAAATCGTGTATGTAGCCACATCGATCCACCAACGTCAAGAATGACGCGGTGTATTCGGACACAGATCCCAGCTGCTTCCACATGCGTAGAGTCTCGCGCGCTTTGTCTGAGTCAGGAGCGTGCTCAAACCGCTTGCGAAGTTCTGCGCACCACGTTGCCCACGTGCGAATGTGGGTTGCACCACACAGTAAATCGGCCTTGTCTTCGTCGCCGAATTCTTCGGACCACTCATGCTGTCCTTTTGTGCGAGTTGCCGCTGAGTCGACGATGAGCTTCCACCACTGTAGGGCGGCCCCTTGCAGCAGTGTCAACGCATGGCTGATCCGTTTCTGATCGTCTCGGATGCCCGCCGCGTTAAAATAGATATTCATTGCGAATATCCACTGCCGCACCGTCACGCCTTTATCAGCCGGATCAAAAGGAGCGGATTGCTGATATCTCACGCCGCCACTTGTCGAGCGCGGGGCTGTTGACGCTAGTCGCGCCAGCTCCACTCGCGACGGTTGCTGCTCACCCGCCTCGCTTCGTGCATCGTCGACCGGCTCCTCTGAACGCCTTTCCTGCGCCTGGCGAAGTCGTTGGTTCTCGTCGCGGAGGTTGTTGACGACACTTGTCAATTTATTCAACTGCTCCATTAATGCTTGCAGGTCCACAGTTTCCCGGGCAAAGTTCGTAGCAGTCGAGGTCGTCTGTTCCTCAACCGTTGAGTCTACCGGTGCCATGGCGATCAGGACGGAGCAGAAACTAGCGCACACGCTGTAGTTGTTCTCGTAAAAATATTTTCGATCGAAGACAACTGCTGTGCAGCCGTATTAATCCCCTTTGACCACCCTTAACTAATTAAACGAGAAAACGGAAGGTTCCTGGAAAGTTCAGGCTCTGATACTAGCTGTTATGAAATAGGGGCTGCGTTCTACAGGCACGAAAGGAAAGTGCATATTACATCAGAGCACCTTCCGAAAGCGAGATTTTTTGCTTCGGATCGAGGGTCAGCCCGCAAAATTTCGCCCAAACTTGGCACAAGGTACCCGAACCTAGTTACATCAACATGCCTGCAGAACAGGTCCCGTACAGATGACATATACGTCAGGGAAACACCCCCCCCCGTTTCCGTCCCTGGCAAATCTGATGCAAACTTGACGCAATGCTGACGTTCGATCAATCGCGGAGTTCACCTTGCGTGTGGCGTTACATCAGCCGCAAGGGTGTACTAGGCCTCCACACCCCAAAAAAACCCGTGCCACTACTTTACCCCACCTCTCGAACTTGGGCCTGCCCTGCAAAACTGCAGCTAAAAAAACCCATCGCCAAAGAGAGTTGTATGACTTCTAACAGCACCACTCTTTCGACTTGCTGCCCTGGGGCAGCAGGTTTTTGTTGCGCAAAATTGAAAATCTCTCCTCTCTCTCCTTTCGCTTGCGCTTTCCACAATTTGGCCGCGTGGCTTCCAAGCGAGGTTTGGAAAGTGCACCTGGTTTGAGTGGTAACCAGTGCTCTCGAAGTCGCTTGCGGAGCCTCCTCAATGTCTATGTTGATGTTTGTAGAACTCAGGAAAGGGTTGGGCCGATAATTGAGGCCGAACGTGACGAGTTGAGGAAGTCGGGTGTACGCGCTACTGTTACACGCGTGACTTCTCCCGTTACTGCAAAGCCCCTCCGGCGCTGACGAAGGTACATTGTGAAGATTGGTGTGTGTCGTAAGGATCCCCCCTGTCGCCAACAAAGATTGGTCTCCATCTTCGCTTTCGCGCGGCGCCTGGCTCCATGCCTCCCCGTGTGCCATTCTTTGACAAAAGATCCATGGGTTCAGCGGCTGAGGCGAGCTGATGGCTCCAGATTTTGCGCAATGCAATTGGTTCTACGAATTCTGTTTTTTTCGCAAACGAGTCTCCTTGCCAAGATGACTGATGCCAGGTTCAGGTGTGGCTTCAGGTAACCATCCCTGCCCGCCAGCTTGCACCTGCCAGCTTTTCGCTCGCCTCCATTGGCCAGACTCATTCGCCATCTTCTTGTACTGCCCTTTAGGGCGCGGTACACAACCCCGTTTTGGGGGTTTGCCACCAAAAGACCGGCCCTCACGGTTGGGCAGCCAGGACCTGCCCTGATTTGGAGGCTTGATGTACCCTGATGTACCAGAAGCAGGCAACCCTCACCCTAGAGGCAAATCTGCCCCAGGGTTGCATGCAGTTGGAGCTGCCAATTTTTTCACATTGCAACGCTGGGGATGGGGTGCCGCTGTCTTTGGTACATAGGATCACTGTAGCGCGAAGTTTGCCTCCGCGAACCTTGCCTCGAACCCGATCTTGGGGGTCATGTACCCCGCCCTTAGTGATGGTGTTGTAACAGTGCGTCTGACACAGGCCGGCGTAGCGTCCACGAAACATCGTACGCGAAGGATGCCGATCGCTTATTGGCTAACGAGGGCAATGGCACGGCGCCGAATTTACAGCACGACAAGTTGGGTGCATTTCCCTTCCCCGCGCCTGAATGAACAACACGGCTCAACTCAAGCCATCCGAACCGACCCGAGGCATGGCTGGAAGAGTCATCATCAGCAGCGGTGGCGATTCAGTGGAGTGTGGTGTGATCGGACTCCCCTTCGCTCGCCTGTGGGAGGAGAATCCTAGCGAGGAAGGTTTCGTTATCAGAGCTCCCCTGATATTTTACCCTGAAAACCCAGGGTTTGAATCTGTGTTTTTCCTATTGTTAAGGGCCCGCTGAAGAAATGCTCGGACGGTCCTCATTTCTACAGGTTTGACTAGGGGATTCAACACTCCATGGGCACACTTGATTCACGTTTGTTCAAGGGGTGGGTGTTGGAGAGGACCCCAGCCTGGTAGTTGTGTGTTGGGAAGTGTGAGAGGTATCCGGGATAGGAAACCTGTTTTTCAATGGGTTAGGGGCAGTGGGGACCGGAGGAATGGGTCCAGGGCTGGCACTAGAAAATCCTCCCGTAGTTTCCAAGGTTGTCTTGAGGTCTCCAGCTTTCGTCAGGGATGGATGAAAAGAGGCCTAAGTAAAATCAGGGTTGACACAAGAAAATCCCCATAGTCAGTCAAGTCAGGAAAATTTCCCTGATAACATAAGCCCCAACCTCCCATCTAGGGCCTATTTTTCAAGAATGGTTGCCCTGAATTTGAGTCAAATAAAAGGCATTTTCTCAGCTGGACATAAAAATTAAGGGTTATAGTTTTATGAACCCGGCGAATTAAGGGTTTATGTAAAGTACTATTCTAGATATTAAGGGTGTATTTTTCCTACCCTGAGTGTTCTACGAGTGCTGGTAGGGCTACAGGGGGGATCTCCTTTGGAGGAACGACTCCCTTGGAATATTTTCGTTGTTCTCCACTCACAGCACATACTCACACCTCGAAGTCACGAACAGAGGGGAGACAACTCAGTATATTTTTGTTGTTCTCCCCCCACAGCACGTACTCACACCAAGTGACAAACAGAGGGGAACTCCCTTAGAAGATTTTCGTCCTTCTCCCCTCACAGCACGTTACTCACACCTCGTAGTCACAAACAGAGGGGAGAACTCCCTTAGTGGATTTTCGTTTTTCTCCCCTCACAGCCCCCTCACATTATCACACCCTTCTCGTAGAGCCCATACCTTTCCTGGTCGATGCTAGCGGTGGCAGTGGAAAGGGTACTGTGTGAATGAACCCTAATGATTAATAAAGGTCACATTCCACTGGAACCTATCCCCTACCTGGCTCCCATGATCCATCCCATCCCATCTCTTCCCTCCCCTCCCTCCCCAACCTCCCCTCCCCCCTCCCCTCGCCATTTGCTTGCTATGTCAGGAAGCACGGCGCGCAAACATGCAGCTAGAATACAAGCCTGACGTACAGCAAGCCTGGGGCGGCCTGTGGCTGTAATGCCAGCGCAACTCACGCGCCATTGTGGTGGTGGTGTACACGCGCGGCCTGTATTCACGCGCGGCCTGCGCGCCGTTTTTGTGTCATCGATATCTTCGGGGATTTGAATGAAGAGAGGACGGAGCAAGTGAAAGAATGAGCAGGTGAAACTTCTCTGGCTTGAAATCCTGACGACGCAGGTCACAACATAGTAGTGCTTGTACTGTGCTACTCTACTATACTCTACCCACCGACATCACCCCCAGTTCACCGCAGTTCCTCCCAACCCACCGCTGCTGACACGGCCTTTTCTAGGCGTTGCTCGGCAGTCTCTAGGCTCAGAAAAGTCCGAGCTAAGCCACTTCTAGAAACCACTGCGAGCAAGTTGCTCTCACTCTCCAAGTGTCCGCTTCACACTCCAGTCTCAGTCTGTTACACTCTACCCCCGCACCGTCCAATTTGGAGCTACTACCTGCTTTTGTTAGTTAGTAACTTAGTACCCAATGCTTCCGCTCGTCCTTCGTAACCTTCCGTTCTACAAGCTGTAGCACTTCGAGGCGACAACAGAATCAGCGCGACTCGTTTGGAGCGACGCCATGGCCGCGAGAGTTGTCCGCGCACAGGCGACGGAGTCAAGAAACTTCTCGCCATCTCCTGCTGGTTACTTAGTAACCCCCTCTTCCTCGGCCTTCTACCAACAGCGTTCCATAAATTGCCCTGACGCATACCCTGCCGATTACCCCGCCGCACATCCCTCCGATTATCCCGCGGCTGCGTACAGCTGTAGCTCAGCGAATCGTCCTCGCTTCACCGCGCCGCCTCTCGACGCCAGCTACTTTCAGTCTCAGTCAGCTTTCGACTGGTCCCTGTCAACTCTTGACGGATCTCCGTCAGCCCTTGACGAATACTCATTCGAAGCCGAGGATCCAGCCATCGAGGCTTTCCAAAGCACATCGCCGCGCGCGCTGTTACCAAGTTACGCCACTTTCGCCAGCCACGACTTCGCCGAGCGCGGCGACGGTTTCGCGCGTTCGGCGCACCACTACTACTATCCCTCCGCGGCGTCCTGGAGCGGCGGAAGCTTCAGCGCGGCCCCACTACCGCAGAAGCATTCCGCCAACCGGCGCGGCTCCCGCGTCTCCCGCGGCTCACGCGCTGCGGCGGAAGCGGCGGCGTCCGGCCGCGGGATGATCGTGCAAGCGGCGGGCGCGCGGCGGCGACCCGCCATCGGCATCAAACAGCTGCGCGCGCTGGAAGCCGCGAGGCAGAAGACGGTCAACCAAGCGGCGGCGTCCGCGGAGGTGGAAGCGGAAGCGGAGGCGGAGGCGCAGGCGCAGCCGCTACTGCGTCTGACGCGGACTCTGTATCGGATGCACCGGAGCGACGAGGCGCTCGTCTCAGCTTTTGAGAGTTCTCAGCAGTCCCCCAGCGGCGAAACGAGGAGGCGCGCCGAGTCACGGAGGCGCGACGACGAGGAGGGGCTCGCGGCGGAAGCGGCGGAGCCGGCGGAATTCACGGAGGAGGAGCGAGCGACGCGAAGAGACACAAGTTCGGAGGCGGTCCGAAGGCCGCTACTTGCGGCGACTCGGAGGAGTAACTCAACGCCGCCGGAAGAGACAAAGTCCGCGAGAGAGGCCTCCGGCGGAGATGTAGCGGCGCGCGGAGGCGGCGGCGGGGATTCGGGGGAACTCGCGGGGGTCGGGGGAACGACGATGAGGGCCGCGGACTGCCCTTTCCGGACGAAACGGGCGCAGCAAGCCGCGATTCTCGGGCTCCATTCCACGTCGGCGCCTCCGGAGCTAGGCGCCACGTATGATGATCCACGTCACGCCAGAGGCGGCCCATCGAACGGTCGCGGAGTCGCCATGATGTTCCCTCCTCCCGTCGCGCGACGTCGCACGGAGTCGTTCGAGTCGCTCGAGTCGCCACGCCAACCGCCTAGCTCGGCGACGTCTGTTCACTCGAGTGGCTCCCAGTCGCCGAGTCAGTCGCCGTCGGTTCGGCACGCTCCCCCGCTTCAATCACGCTCGAGTCTCCCTCCGTTACAGTCACACTCGCACTCGCACCGCCATCGCGGTTCCCAGTCGAGGTCTCGCTCCCCGTCGCCGTCTCCATCCCCGTTACAAACTATTCTCGCGGTCCCGTTACAAGCACCACCACGCCGAGATTCGTCGATTGACGCGCCTCAGAAGCCAGCTAAGTTGCGAACCAGCCAATCCCTTTCCGTGGGTAACTATCTGGCGGATGCAGGACAAGTGAGGCGGCTCAACGTGGCTCCAAAACCAGCGGAATTTGGGTTTCTGAGGAGCGGAGGTGATGGTGGCAGTTTTGGGCGACACTCGCCCGTGAAACACCCGCTCTCCAAGCCCGCAACTCCTCCGAGCCAAGTCCCGTACGCGTTGAAGGAAGCTCCGCTACGCGATTTTCAGTCTGGGTTGCACTGTTCTACAGTGCCTTCTCACCAGCACATGCGACGCGGCAGCCTCCCTGCTGCAGCTTCGCCTCGCATGGAGTCTCCACCAGCAAGGCTCTACAGTAACTGTTCTAAAATCTCTGCACTTCCTACAACTGAATTTTGTAAAAGCACGCACTCCCCTTCCATATCTCCTAGCAAGCCTCCTCCTTCCCTCTCCCCCAGTGCAAGCCCCAGTGGAACCTCTCTCTATAAGCTTCCATCCGACAATCTTCAAGCGGTAGCCAGCACTCATTACAACCGCTACATGCATCATGGCCCTCTGAGGCAGAAGTCCAGGCTCGGCCTCCGAACCACCTCGGTAGACCTGGGCGACATTGCTGCAGGCTCGGCACATGCTGGACTTGTTGCTCGACAGGCTCGGCAAGGCAGTGGGTTGTACCAGGGGGAGGTGGATGTGGGGGAGATGCAGCAGGAGCGGGAGAATGTCCCCCGGCAGTCAGTCCAGAGGCGAGCCAGACCTAACAGCATTTCGGTGTGCCCCTCTGCCTACACCCCTCTCTCTCCATATGGGCAAGCATCTGTGGCAACGGCGGCGGTAGCAGCTGCACCGATGGCTGATCAGCACTTTTTCCAGCAGCACCGCTCCCAGCATCAGCATCAGCATCACCGACAGCATCAGCAACAGTATCAGCAACAGCAGCCACAGCAGCCGCAGCATCAGCATCAGCAGCATCAGCATCAGCGACACCAGCATCAGCAGTATCACCAGCAGCATGACAGTCAGGGCAGCAGATCCAACGCCTCTCCCCCCCACTCCCCTCCTCACCAATCCATTCGCACCCGCCGTGCCTTACCCTCCCTGGCTGTAAACCCCCTCGGCAGACCCTGCGAATCGGCCTCTTCCATCCTCCGTACAAGCAGCCTCACTACCAACACAGCAGCCTCGTCCTTCACTTCTTCTACCTCCCCACCACTCCTCTTCCCCCCACCCCCTGCCCTAACCGTCAAGCAGTCACCACTTGAACCACCAGCTCCATTTGCAAGCTTCCAATCACGCGCACATTGCCGGGTCGTTTTCGCAGGATCCTCATCTGCCTCTGCATCACCCCATCTGCTGCCCTCTGCTGCCCCGGGTTCACCCGACGCTGCCTCTCCCGGCGTTTCCCCTTCCCCGGGTTCACCTTCACCAGGCAGCGCTTCCTCTGGCAACGCTTCCCCCTGCCCTCTGCCCAAGTCAATCCTGACCGTCCGTGACGAGGGGTCCTCGTCCATCGGCCGTACAAGGTCTCTTGGCAGGCTGGTCAGATTCAACAAAGTAGCGCAAGTACATATCATAGTGTAGCTGGGATTTTTGTCCCGTGCCCCAAGTCTTCGCTTACAGTTCATCACGAGGGGTCATCTATAGGGTGTACAAGATTCCTTGCCATGTAGACTTGTGAGGTTCAACATAGTAGCTGAAGTACATATCATACGGTAGTGTAGCTGGGCATTTCCAGCAGCAATGCTTCGCCCCTTGCACTCAGCATCTAGGATTTGGTGGCTTGCTTGTTGTCAGACTAGATAAGGCACTGAAATGCACGCTGAAGTGTAGGTTTGAAACTATAAAGTGTCAAACATGTGTAGTCGTTATGTTTGTATAGACTGTATAGGGTCACCTCTTAGAGGGTACAATTCTTAGGTATATCTTTCTGTACTCTCTCACTAGTTATCATTCTCTTCTCCAATTCTGATATGGTATCACGCGTAGGTAGGATCCCCCCCCCACCTACCGCTTCCGCTCCCCCCCCCCCTAGCCCCGTCGTGCCCCTAGCCCCGTCGCGACCCCCCCAGCCCCGTCGCGCCCCTTCCTGGGCCCCGTAGCGCCCCTCCTGGGCCCCGTCGCGCCCTTCCTGGGCCCCGTCGCGCCCCTCCCGGGCCCCGTAGCGCCCCTCCTGGGCCCCGTCGCGCCCTATTACTCACTGTTGCCTAGTGTAGGTGTGCCTAGCTTAGCCTCCCCTGCTGCGTCAGGCGTAGGATCCCCTGCTTTGTGTAGTCTTGGTGCTTCCGCCGTCGTTCCATCGCCAGACGCCTCTGCTTCGCTTTCCTTCACCTTGGACTCTGGCGCTTCCCGGTGTTTCTTCCGCGACTCCACCACCCTGACGCCGCTTCCTGTTCCAACTGTCGTTTCTCTTGCTGACCCCTCCGGCGGTCCGGTAGTCGCCCGCAGTTCCACCACCCTTCCCTGTCCGGCGGTTCCTTCGGGCACTCTCACAGGTCTGCATATCCCCTCGTTCTCCAGGAACCTAGTTGGTGTCGGCTGCCTCCAGGACCTTGGCGTCACCACTACGTTCCCTGGTCACGAGCGGTATGCTGTCTGTACCGAGGCCGCCACTGGTGCCCCCCTGTCCACGTTCCCCCGGGACCCGGTGTCCGGCCTGTTCACTCTGGACACCGTGACCCCCCCGGCTGGAGCGCTCACCCAGGTTGCTGCTGCCTGCTCCTGTCGGTCCCTCACTCTCACGACCCTCCTTTGGCACCACCGCCTAGGTCACCCTGCACTCCCGCGTCTGCGTCACATGTCCCAGCACTGTCTCGTCCTTGGTCTCCCAGGTTCCCTCCCCGCGTTTCCCTCCTCCCAAGCCCCACCTTGCACGCCTTGTGTCGAGGGTCGGCTTCGCCGTGCCCCTCACTCCTCCTCGTTTCCCCCTACCGCCGCGCCGCTGCAGACCCTGCACCTGGACGTCTGGGGCCCCGCCCCCGTCCCTGGGCCGCGTCGAGAGCGCTACTTCCTTGTGCTTGTCGACGACTTCACTCCTTACACCACAGTCTTTCCCCTAGAGCGCAAGGCCGACGTGCCTGGCGCTCTCATCCCCTGGCTTGTCTCTACGCGTGTCCACCGCGGTCTCCCTGTCTTGCGTCTTCACTCAGACCGTGGTGGCGAGTTTGCCTCAGGTGTCCTTGGTCGCTTTTGTCGTGCGGAGGGCATCACCCAGACGTTCACCCTACCGGACTCCCCACAGCATAATGGGGTCGCTGAGCGACGCATCGGTTTGGTCATGGAGGTGGCTCGCACCTCCATGATCCATGCCGGTGCACCCCATTTTCTGTGGCCGTTCGCTGTGCGCTACGCTTCTCACCAGCTTAACTTGTGGCCGCACCCTCAGCAGCCGCAGGTTTCGCCGACCCGTCTGTGGACTGGGTCTCCTGGTGACGCGTCTGCGTTCCACGTCTGGGGCTGCCTTGCTCATGTCCGTGCCTCCGGTACGGACAAGCTCACTGCCCGCACCCTTCGCCTGCTCGGCCTTCCGTCCCCCGACCCTGCGTCGGTTCCTCCCCGACCGTCTCCTCCTATTCTTGTCTACGGCCCTGTCTTCCCTCCGCCGGACTCGTCCCCGGCCCGTCTCCCCCCTCGTTCCCCTCCTGTGTCCCCTCCTCTGTCTCCTGACCCGACTCCTCCGTCGCACGTCTGGTCTCACCGTCCCTCCCGTGCTCGTCCTGCCTCGCCTGTTTTGCGCTCCCACCCTATGTTGCTTCGTTCCCACACATCTCGTCCTCCCCTTCTGCCGTCGCCTCCTCCGTCCTCCCTTGTTGTTGCACCCCCCCCGCTGTCTGACTACCTTCGTGCCGCTCGTCCCCTTGTTCCTCGGGTCCTTGCCTCTCTCGTTACCGACCCGTCTGTTCCGGCCTCGTGCCTTGACGCTCTTGTCGCTGCTGTCGCTGACTTCGCCTCTACCCGCCGCCTTGACTAAGCCTCCGCTCTGGTCTTCGACCCTGCCTGTCCTCCGTCTGTCGGGGGTGCTCCTGCCCTTAGCAGAGACGTCCTGGAGGACCGCCAGTTCGAGCTTGCTTTCCTGTCCGAGGCTGCTCCCCATCTCTGTTCCATGCTGCTAGTCCCTGAGGGTGACCCAGACGCTTTCGACATCCCGACCCCTCGCACTTACGCTGAGGCGACTTCGGGACCCTGGGCCTCGCAGTGGATAGCTGCCATGGAGCAGGAGATGGCATCTTGGAGATCCACCGGCACCTTCGTCGACGCAGTTCCCCCACCTGGGGTGAACGTAGTCGATGGCCGTTGGCTCTTCAAGGTGAAGCGCCCTCCTGGAGAGCCGCCTGTGTTCAAGGCGCGCTATGTGGCTAGAGGCTTCAGTCAGCGCGAGGGGGTGGACTTCTTCCAGACCTTCGCTCCGACCCCGAAGATGACTACTCTTCGGGTTCTGTTACACCTAGCTGCTCAGCGTGACTACGAGCTCCACTCCCTCGACTTCTCCACTGCCTTCCTTCAGGACAGCCTACACGAGCAGGTCTACTTGCGTCGTCCTCAGGGCTTTACTGGCACCTTCCCTCCTGGGACCCAGTGGCTCCTGCGGCGCCCCGTCTACGGCCTGCGCCAGGCTCCCCGTGAGTGGCACGACACTCTCCGTGCTACGCTTGCTGACCTGCAGTTCTTTCCATCTTCCGCAGACCCTTCACTCTTCGTTCGTGCTGGCCAGACTCCGTTCTACATCCTTGTTTACGTCGACGACCTGGTCTTTGCCACAGACAGGGACGCACTGGCCTCCGTGAAGGCAGAGCTGCTGAAGAGACACACGTGCACTGACCTTGGAGAACTGCGCCGTTACCTTGGCTTGCAGATCTCCAGGGACAGAGCTGCGCGTACCATCACCCTGACTCAGTCACACTTGGTGCGCCACGTCCTTCAGAGGTTCAGCCTTCAGTTCTCCTCTGCACAGCCCACCCCTCTGCCTGTAGACCACAGACTCTCCGCTCCAGTGTCTGAGGAGTTGGTAGAGCCCAGCGGCCCCTACGCAGAGCTGGTGGGTTGCCTCATGTACCTGATGACTTGCACTCGCCCAGATCTCGCATACCCTCTCAGCATCCTGGCTCGCTTTGTGGCCACAGGCAGACACCGACCGCAGCACTGGTCTGACGCTAAGAGGGTTCTGCGTTATCTTGCTAGTACATCGGGCATGGGGTTAGTGCTAGGAGGACGCAGGCCAGTGGTCCTTACTGGACACACAGACGCTTCGTGGGCAGACGACGCTGAGACACTCAGGTCTACCCAGGGCTACTGCTTCAGCCTTGGCTCAGGTGCCGTCTCGTGGAGAGCTACCCGCTCCTTGTCTGTTGCTCAGTCCAGCTGTGAGGCTGAGATCTACGCCGGTGCCATGGCGGCACAGGAGCTCCGCTGGCTGACCTTCTTGCTCACTGACTTAGGTGAGCGGCCTAGCTCTGCCCCGGTCCTGTTCGCTGACAACAGGGCCATGATCCTCCTGTGTCAGGAGCCTCGACTCGAGGGCAGAGCAAAGCACATTCAGCTGCGGTACTTCCTCCTGCGTGAGCTACAGCAGCGACGTCAGGCTCGCGTAGTACACTTGGCCTCAGGTGCCAACACGGCTGATATCTTTACGAAGGCGCTTGCGCCTAAAGATCATCAGCGGCACTGTGTACAGCTTGGTCTAGTTCCTGTAGCCTCTCACTTGCTAGGACCTTGACTTTGTACTGTCCTTTATACGTATACTCGGACTGGACTTGTGTCCTCTTCCAGTGGCTGGACTAGTAGTGTCGCCCTGCTCTTGTTCTTGCCTTGTCTGTACTCCTTCTGACTGGTCTCTCAGACCCTTGTCTCAGAGGTTGGACTAGTAGTGCCGCCCTGAGCTGCTTGTTTAGGACATTCCCCTATGCAGTCTAGGGGGTGTGTCAAACATGTGTAGTCGTTATGTTTGTATAGACTGTATAGGGTCACCTCTTAGAGGGTACAATTCTTAGGCATATCTTTCTGTACTCTCTCACTAGCTATCATTCTCTTCTCCAATTCTGATGTAAAGGACTTCCAGAAACATGTGAATGTTGAGTGGACCACTGATCCATCCTTTCTTGTACACCTTAGCAATGTGAGGAATTAGTAATTCCTTACTGAGGTTTGCTACAGGGCGTACGACTCGAACAGTCCCGAACCATCGCCAGGGTTCCATACCTATCAGTTTGAGCCTCCTGGGCCTTTCCGGACCTCGCTACGACACATCGAGACCCTTCGATACTTTTTCCGAACCTTCCGATCCTACGTCCAGGATCACCCTAGGCTTTCTATATATTGTATTGTCTTTCATTTTATTGTCATTCACTCGTTCACAGTTTCGCCATTGCCCTCCGCAGTACTCGGCAGTCCCATTCATAACACTTGGTATTTAGAGCCACTTTCCTCACCCGCTGGGCTTCTGAGGGCAATTTTTTTTTTTTTTTTTTGGGAGGAGGAGAAGGCGGATGGCGCTACAGAAGGCACAACGGTTGTCCTGAGGCATGATATGATATGCTTCAACAACTGCGTCTGCGTGGGTTTCTAACGACCGTCGATCCGACCCCAAGGGACGAGCAGGATTCGCTCGGCCATCCCCTCGAGGGCGGTTGTGTCCGTCCTGACATGACGAAGATTTTGAAGAGTGTTTCCGGTATGTTGTTCATTTCGCATATCGTAAAAAGGGCTTCGGTTGCAGTTTCGGAAATTTCGGCAAGCAGCAAACGACGATTCGGATTGGTGTCCGAATGGAGCGAGGAGCTCGTCACGAGACGACAAGCTCGCGGATATCCCCAGGCGAAATGGATTTCGTCAGGAGCGCGCGTAGCAGACGTGGCTGCATGGTGAA